GGACATGAGAGAAGCCTCCAACAAGGATGGTAAAACATCAAACATCTGGGTATCCCCTGGGCAACATCCTTGCAGATGGCCAATACTCTCACACCAGAAGCGACTTGCAGTTTATTTTCGAAGGCTTTCATGGCCAGAACCACTGGGTTGTTTAAGTTTTTCGGGCTGTATGACCTCACAACCTCTGAGGATGCCTGCCATAGATGCAGGCAAAACGTCAGGAGATAATGCTTCTGGAACATGGCCATACAGTCTGAAAAATGCACAGCAACCTGACTTGCAATTTCTCAAGTTGCTCCTGACATGGAAAAAAAAACTTCGTAATTTTTTTTTCTGTGTCAGGAGCAACTTGAAAAACTGCAAGTTGTTTCTGGTGTGAGAGAATTGGCCATCTGCAAGGACATTGCCCAGAGGATGCCCAGATATTTTACCATCCTTTAGGAGGCTTCTCTCATGTCCTTTCATGAGAAGCTGGAGCTGACAAACAGGAGCTCACCCTGCTCCCTGGATTTGAATTGCCAATCTTTTGGTCAGCAGTCCTGCCAGCACAACACACCATGCTCAACGGGCTTGTCTAGGTAGAAATTAATAATAATAATAATAATAATAATAATAATAATAATTGATCTTGAAGTGACTGGATTGACCTTGAAGGAGCTGGGGGTGGTGACAACCGACAGGGAGCTCTGGCGTGAGCTGGTCCATGAGGTCACGAAGAGTTAGAAATGACTGAACGAATGAACAAAAACAACAACAACAACAACAACAACAACAACAATAATAAATGTATTTATTTATATTCCGCCCTATCTCCCTGGAGGGACTCCTATCAATTAAACTTGACTTACTTGGTTCTACAGTAATATATGAATGGATACTGACATGAAATATTTTTCTATTTTTCAGATATGGATGACTGTTTCAGATGTCCAGAAGACCACTATCCAAGCAACGACAGAAGCACGTGTATCCCAAAAAGCATAAGCTTCTTGTCTTATGGAGACCCCTTAGGGACCAGTTTAGCTGTGATTGCTTCTTCTTTTGCCATCATCACAGCGATGGTGCTAGGAGTATTTATCAAGCATAAAGATACCCCATTAGTCAAAGCTAACAACCGAAATCTCACCTATATTCTTCTCACTTCCCTCATGCTCTGCTTCCTCTCTTCTCTCCTATTTCTTGGTGAACCACGAGAAGTCACTTGCCTCTTACGACAATCCATTTTTGGTCTCACTTTCTCTGTGGCTATTTCTTGCATTCTGGCCAAAACTACCATTGTTTCCCTAGCATTCCTTGCTACAAGGCCTGGCTCAAGAATGATGAAGTGGGTAGGGAACAGGCTGGTCCACTTCATTATTTTTCCATGCTCCCTTCTTCAAACTTGCATTTGCCTTGTGTGGTTGGCATCCTCTCCACCCTTCCCAGATGTTGATATGAAGTCAATACCTGAGGAAATCATTATTCAATGTAATGAAGGCTCTGCCATCATGTTCTACTTTGTCCTCGGCTACATTGGCCTCTTGGCCATGGCCAGCTTCATTTTGGCCTTTCAGGTCCGTAAATTACCAGATACTTTCAATGAAGCCAAGTTCATTACGTTCAGCATGTTGGTTTTCTGCAGTGTGTGGATATGTTTTGTCCCCACTTACTTGAGCACTAAAGGGAAAGAGATGGTGGCTGTGGAGACCTTCTCCATCTTGTTCTCCAGCGCTGCCTTATTGGGGTTCATCTTTGCCCCTAAATGCTACATCATTGCATTGAGGCCTGATCTGAACAGTAGGGACCAACTTATAAGAAGAAAGAATTAAGGAATCTGCCTGTGGTCCTTTTATTTAAATGCATTCACCTTCTAGGATTAAATTGATGACTTTAATATGAATTCTGTGTATTTCAGTAGGAATTAAGTTGAAGTATGTCTCTAAAGCATGTGTTGATTTTAACCACTCTTTCAGGGCAAATCCAGACAGGTCTTTATCCCAAGAGAATCTGCATTTTAAAAACGCAGATATTCCTGGGGACCTGTCCACACTCACCCCAGAAAACGTGCACTTTCTGGGTTAGGTGTCCAGACATTCTGGAGGCCATACCTCCCTCCTCAAAACCCCTTTGAAAAGTAATGAAAACTTTTCAGGAGAGCGGGGGAAGCAATTTTCCTCCCCCCCCCCCCTTTCTGTTGTTGTGTTATTTCTATGTGCCAGGAAAGCTGCTCGAAGCCTATAATAGAGGCCGGGTAAGTTTTCATTACTTTTCAAAGGGGTTTGGGGGCTTCAGGAGAGAGGTGGGTATTCCCACAGTTTCTTAGGCTTATTTAGTCCAGTAAACTATGGGAATGATGTCTGGACTGTAGTCCAGACACCAAAAGTAGTGGGTTTATCCTGTGCCTTCCAAGAAGGTGCGGAATAAATCCACTATCTAATTATTTCACCACAAACCAGGGTTTCCCAGGGTTTCCCTGATTTGTAGTGAATTAATTCGGGACTGTCCAGAATGTTGTCTGGACAGCCCTTCCTTTATTGTGGTAGATACCGTGATAAAGGTAGTGTCTGGACGGGCCCTCAATCTATCCAGTAAAGAGCTATCTTCTCTCACCACTTGACATGTTTTGTTTTGGAAACACAGTCATGAAATATCCCCTCCTGGTCCAAATCATAATGTTTTATTTTAGGACAATATAATATAGGGTAAATTGGTACATAACACCGGCCAACATATATTTTAGTGCCCCAAATGTTAGACCTGTTTCTGGGTATGTTTGACCTGTTGATGCCATAAATGGCACCGGTTTTCCCCTATCAGTTCTAGATTTTGAGCTACAGAACACATTCAACATATCAGTTTATATCTGCTTACCCATAAAAAGTCATGATATCCATATCTAAGAAACTAGAGCTGATGTAGTCTATGAAATGCAATTTTCTGAATCAGTGACCCAAACCCCAGGAACATGTCTAAAAACCAAAACACCAAGAAAAAGTGGGGMTTTTTTMGGAGGGGGGGGGTCTGTGTAATTAATGAGAGATGGGGCAAAGAAACAATAAATATCAAGAAAAGACAGAGGTAAAAAAATTGTTTGTTGCTGTTTTGTTATTGTTATGTACCTCCATGTTAGTAAACCTATTGCAGAATGTTATTGGGTTGAGATGAGCAAGCGTGTCTCACCCTAGATAGTTTTCTATGTTCAAGCAGGGAATTGAACCCTAGACTCCAGAGGCATAGTCTAGTTCCCAAACCACTAAACCATACTTTCTCTGTTGGTTGTTATACACCTCTAATTCTCCTTGTTTTTATGGTGATGCTAACACAGAGTTTCCTTAACTCAATTTGTCTCAAGAAGGTTTATTTTGTATTTCTCTAATCACACTAGAACAGTAGTTCTCAACCTGTGGGTCCCCAGGTGTTTTGGCCTACAACTCGCAGAATTCCCAGCCAGTTTACCAGCTGTTAGGATTTCTGGGAGGTGAAGACCAAAACATCTGGGGACCCACAGGTTGAGAACCACTGCACTAGAGAATAGATCTGGTTTCCACCTCCTGCAGAATTCTGGGGCTTGTAGTTTAGTGATGCTCTGACCTGTCTGGCTGAGCAGTTTAAAGGCTCCTCCCTAAACTACAAGCCCCAGAATTCTGCAGGAGGAAGAAACTGGATTTAAAGTGGATCCATGCTCTAGTGCAGGCATCCTCAAACTGTTTGAGCCTCTAACTCCCAGAATTCTTGACCATTGAACAAGCTAGCTAGGGTTTCTGGGAATTGGAAGCCAAAACAACTGGGGGCCACAGTTTGCCGATGCTTGCTTTAGTGTGTTGATGTCCTAAGGCTAAAATAGTTTGAGCTGAACAAGGTCACCCAATTAGTTTTCTTGGCTGCGCAGGAATTCAAACTTTCATCTCCCAATTTCCTAATCCGGGATCCAAATCACTATACTAGGTTTTTAAAAACCAAATTGACCATAAGGAACAAATAAAACACAAATCCATATCGTGGTAATGACTTTATTATTTATTGTATACAATTAATACCTAGTATCAAAATGGCTGGTAACATTTCAGAATCAGGTTTGCCCATCAAGTACAAACATAAGCAATTCAGAACTATAGGGCCTCTTGCATACATACAAAGCATGTGAGACCCATTGTCACTATTTTGTTTGTCAGTGCTGTTTTTCTGAATGGCATCTTGCCACCTCACCAGATGCAGAGGGAGAGCATTTTTCCCTGCTTCTTTCTGCTGCCGGAACTGAGTCCCATGGAGTCCATCAAGAAATGTAGGGCAACAACAGGTGGGACTCCGTGGCACTCCATTTCGGCAGTGGAGAGGAAATGGAGCCCAAAGTGCTCCTGGAAGAGTTGGGTGTTACCTGATTCCTCACTAAACAAAACAAAAAGGATTTGAAGGGGCAAAAAACATGGAAAGACAGAACACAGATCCCAGCGAGATGGAACAGAGCCTGACAGTTTCTTCTGCTGTCCCACCGTTTCCCATGGTTTTCCCTGCTGTCCCTTGCTTTACCCCTGCCCGTCTCATGAAGTCCTTGGACTCTAAATCATTTTGTCAAGGGCTGAAATAAACAGTAGAAAGAAATTTATGAGATTTAAATCTGACAATTAATCCCAACCAAAATAGAGCCATTGCACCAAATGGATTTATCTATGTGTTGATTTACTAGTCAACAATAGTTTACAGTGGTCTACACTAGTAAGAATTAACAGGGAAAAAATCCAGCTATTAGATTTCGATTAAAAAAACCTCATCATGTCATTGTTAAATGCCTTAGTCCATTTCAATCACTATTAGTGATCAATTCAGCACATTTCAGATTGTTAATATTTACAGACTTTCTTAGATTTCTGTAATGTGCTGAGGCATACAAAGGATGGGGCATTCGTAGTTGTCTGCCTCAGGTGCAGGTAATAAAGGAATGCATATGTAAAAACTCTATTATCTATCTATCATCTATCTATCTATCTATCTATCTATCTATCTATCTATCTATCTATCTATCTATCTATCTTTCCTAATAGTTTTCCCCACATCCCACCATGTTACAAATCAGCTGTCTGACTAACACAGAGAGTGGAGAAAACCGAGAAAACCAACCTGACAGTTTGTGTGTCAAATGCAGTATGAACCCCTTATATGCATAATCTGTATAGTTTCAATTATCCAAGCTTTTAAAAACTCATTGGAAGAGCTTGTAGGCATCTCTATGGGTTTAGTTTGGCACTACCAATTGCCACTGTTTAGTGTTATGGAATTATGGGAGTCATAATGTCACAAAGTCTTTAGCCTTCTCTATCAAAGATTACTGATGCCTCCCCAAAATACAAATTTCATAATTCTATAGCATTGAGTCATGGCAATTAAAGCTGTACTAAACTGCACTAATACTATAGATGCACCCTAGGTTTTCTGGTGTGATTATATGTATGTGTCTGGCCCAAGTAAAGTTGAAATATACATTTCACTGTTATCCATGGTTTCAGGAATCCTTGGAACATATTCCACATAGATATGGAGTCATACATATTAGATACACAATTCTCACTTCATACCATTTTGAAATAAGCCTTTTATACGTGGGTAAATCTGTATGCACTCTGGATTTTGAATATTCAGTGGTTTCTGGGGCAATCAGTAGACATCATGGCAATTCTGTATATTCATGTAAAATGATCTTCAATCTCCTTAAAACAATGTTAAAATGTCAATACCCAAATTCCTCCTTAGAACACCTTGAAAAATGTTCCCATATAATGTCTTCTGTTGTGCAATGATTGTATTAAACTGAAATGTCAACACAAACAAAAGGTTACTTGTCATTTATTTTTATAATGTAGAAAAGAGGGTTTTTTATCATATCAGAAACAAACTGAGGTTACAGTTGTAATGCATCTTTTTTTTAAAAAAAAACACACAGTTTAAAAAACTTGGCATTATACTAAATGTCCTTTGACCAGTAGCTGGTCACTTGGAGTGCCTCTGGTGTTGCTGTAAGAAGGTCCTCCATTGTGCATGTGGCAGGGCTCAGACTGCATTGTAAAAGGTGGTCTGTGGTTTCCATCCTTAATCCATCTCATATTATGTGGCATGTTTATGTTGCAATGTGTGTGCCTCAGTTGTTCAGAAGACAAAACTGCGTGTTTGAGAGGAACTGGGCAGTCCCTTAACACAGATCCAAGGAGTGCAATGAAGGGGGACAGCAAAAAGATGTACAATGGTTGGAAGGTGTTTCAGATGTGAAACCTTTTCCAAAATAATTGAATCACTTGTCAAAAATGGAAAGAATTGCACAATGCTTCAAGGAGGGATAAGGGAAACAACAAATGGGCTGAGCAATTTAAGGGGGAGTTTGCGCTTGGATGTGCAAAAGCTCTTGCAGCCTTACCTTTTGCAGACCTGCTGTAGAAGTTTTCAATGTGATGGCTTTGGCCTATAAAGCCCTAAACAGTTATGGCCCAGTTTATCTATCCAAACACATCTCTTTCTATGAACCTTCTATGGATTTAAGATTGTCTGGGGAGGCCCTGCTCTCAATCCCACCTGCCTCACAGGCAGATCTGTTGGGGACCAGAGACAGGGCCCTCTCAGTAATGGTCCCTTGGCAGTGAAACTCCCTTCCCACAGATATTAGATCGGCCCTCTCCCTCCTGACCTTTCAGAAAAGAGTGAAAACCTGGCTCTTTGAACAAGCGTTTGGAGCTTCAGCATGACCAGATAAACAAAAAATTGTAATACAAACACGGAACAGCTAAGACGATGTAAACAGATGAGGAATTGGACTGGAAGACACTGTTTTTTAATAGATGTTTATAGTTTTTATAGCTTTTATTGATTTTATATGTATTTATGATGTGATTTAATTGCTTTTAACTGATGTGTGTGTGTGGCATTTAATTTTTGCCGGTTTGTACACTGCCCTGAGTTGCCTTCGGGCTGAAATGGGTGGGATAAAAATGATGTAAATAAATAAATAGAAGTTTGTAAGGAGCAAGAGTCACAGTGCATCATCCGGGGGGGGGGGGGGCATGGGGACCTGGCACTCCATGCCCTGCATTGCCTGGATCCAGTAAAGGGTGATCCCATGGGGGGAAGTGTTGGTAGCACAGCTTCCCCCCATTGATTCCAATGGCAACATAGAAAACTTCCCATGTTGCTGTGGTGGTGGCATGCACTGGCTCTGCCCTACTTTACCCACGGAGCCCTGCTGGTGTCATTTGATTGGAGCTGGCAGACTTTGTGGGTGACCTGGGCTAAACTGGTGTATATTGCCAATTTTAGCCCTTTGTGATGAGGTTGTCTATGTTATAGTAAAATTAAAAACCATGATCTAAGCATACCACAACAAAAAATAATGGGCATGGGAAAATAGATGCATTAATGATTCCTCTGGATAAGCAGCTCCCTGCTGTTCAAATGAGGCCTCAGCACAATAATGTAGCATTTGGGGGCAAAGATGAAGCCTAGTATCCCGGCACCGGAGAAGACAATGGAGAAGATTTCCACTGCCACCATGCCTTTACCTTTAGAACTCAGGTGAGTTGGAACAAAAGTCGCCCACACGCTACAAAAAATCAACATGCTGAATGTTATAAATTTGGTTTCATTGAAACCCTTTGGTAAATTGCGGACTTGAAATGCCACGATGAAACTGGCAATGGCCAAGAGACCCAGGTAGCCCAGGATGGAATAAAACATGACAATAGATCCTTCATTACATTGGACTATGCTTTCTTCAGGGAATGAGTACATGTCTAATTCAGGGAAAGAAGGGGAGAATAATAACCATAGAATACAAATACTTGTTTGCAACAGGGAACATGGGAGGACAATGGAACGGACCAGTTTCTTCCCTATCCATTTTTTCTTCCTAGATCCTGGCTTTGTGGCTTGGAAAGCTAGAGAAACTAGGGTGGTTTTTGCCAAAATACAGGAAACAGCAATGGAGAAGATGATGCCAAAAGTTGGTTGACGGAGAAGGCAGGTCACTTTGCTGGGTTTGCCAAGGAAGAGCAAGGAAGAGAGAAAGCAAAGTAGAAGAGAGACCAGGAGACCGTAAGTGAGGTCTCGGTTGTTGGCCTTGACTATGGGAGTGTCTCTGTTCTTGACAAAAACTCCAAGGACCAAAGCAGTGACCAAGGAAAATGAAACCGCAACGGAGGCGAATCCAATGCCTAAAGGTTCTTCAAAGGCCAGAAAACGTATTGTTTTATTCATGCATTTATTTTTATGTTCACTTGCGTATTGATCTTCTGCGCATTTTAAACAGTCATCCATATCTGAAAAAACAAACAAAGAGACATTATTATAGTTCCACTAATTCGGAAATACCACTGTATTTACAGCAGAACTGGTGAAGAACTTCACCTACCAGTTTGGTTTGAAATCTCCCCTTCCGGACATGAAATGCAATCATAGCAGCAAAACTTTTCTCCTTCTTTCTTTTTCTTCTGGTGGCCTGGGTAACAGTGTCCATTACACTGAGAAATGGGAACTACCTTTCAAACAGATAAAATACATTATTCAGTGTGGCTTATATCCATGCTTTTGGTTTTCTGCGGACCTAGCTTTTCACTTTCCATAGTAAAAGGTAAAGGTTTCCCTTGACATTAAGTCTAGTTGAGTCCAACTCTGGATGGTGGTGCTCATCTCCATTTCTAGGCCGAAGAGCCAGCATTGTCCATAGACACTTCCAAGGTCATGTGGCCAGCATGACTGCATGGAGTGCCCTGCCTTTACCTTCCTGCCGAAGCAATACCTATTGATCTACTCAGATTTGCATGTTTTTGAACTACTAGGTTGGCAGAAGCTGAGGCTAACAGCAGGAGTTCACCCTGCTTCCTGGATACAAACCACCAACCTTTCAGTCAGCAAGTTCAGCAGCTTAGCAGTTTAACCCGCTGCGCCACCAAGGGCCCTATTTTCTGTAGAAGACATGGCAAACTGGTAATCGTGGTTGGTTGTTGGTAGAATTTTGTACCTGTAGGTTGACATATTTTAAGTAAAGAATGGTATTTTTACATTATACTTTCATATGATTTCATCCAGAGTTTGGAATGGAAGTACAAATAACCAAATCATTTCAGATAGCATGCTCACAAATGTAATGAAGTTTGCTTCATCATTACTCAGGAAATGTTATAATACATTAAGTCAATCGTGAAATTAAATGATGTGTTAAGCTGAAAAATAATTACGTCTCAATTCTGTACCTGGTTAAAATGCCCAGGCCATACAATCAAGTCCTCCTTAATGATGAATTCTTCTTCCCCAGTACTCTTCAGAGCCACATGTCCAACTTTCACTCTCTGGAAGGAGTTATTATGGAACATGATTATGTTCGTTATGTCAAATCCGCCTACTATTTCCCTATCATCATCAAAAGACACTGTTTTTCCAGCTGAGTTGTTGAATGACATGCCTTGAAGAAAATGATGGAGCTAGTAGGAACAGAGAGGGAAAAAGAGACACAGATACTAGGACGTGAATAATTTAGCCTCAAATTCTTTTCGGTTTGTTTGGTAAATAGAGGAATTCCCCAACTCCATACTGTGATAATGTCTTTAGTGAGCACCCAAAACCTGCATGTTCTTCATTTTTGAAGCTTCTTTATTTTTTAAAAAGGAATTGAATGAACATGTCAGGGAAGGAAGGAGAGAAAAAGAGACTGAAGCTGTTACAGTCATTTAGGGGGCATCTACACTGTAGAATCAATGCAGTTTGAGTCCACTTTAACTCCCATGGTTCAATGTTGTGGAATGTTGGGAGCTGCAGATTGGTGAGGAACCAGCACTCTTTGGGACAGTAGGCTAAAGACCTTGTAAAATGAAAACAGATAATTCCATAGTATTAAGTCATAGTAGCTAAAATGGTCTGAAGCTGCTTTAATCTAGAGGGAGATGGGGGAAGTGGGGGGAAGGGGGTCTACGTTGTTATTTTGCAGTGATATAACACATAATAAATGGTTTTTAATGTATAGATTTTCCCCTAACTTTTATAGTTTAATGTATATGCTTATTGTTTTTATATGTTTGTTCAAATGGCATTGAATTGTTACTAATTTGAAAGCTGCTCTGAGTCCTCTTCTGGGTGAGAAGGGCAGAGTATAAATAGAGTAAATCTATATAAATAAAAATGTAATGTTCCTTTGTGGGATTAACATAACTCAAATACCACTGGACAAACTGACACCAAATTTGGACATAATACACCTACCAGGCCAACTAGTAACCATTACTCATAAAAACACTGAAAAACACAGTAGAAGAGACTTAAAAAGCCTAAAAATTAAGAAAATACATTATAACACATGTGCAAAACCACATATATACACATATACATATACATACACACAAAACACATATACACAGACTGAACCACAGCAATGCATGGCAGGGGACGGCTAGTCTATATAAATAAAAATGTAATGTTTGTTTGTGGGATTAACATAACCCAAAAACCACTGGACGAATTGACACCAAATTTGGACACAGTACACCTATAAGGCAACAAGTGACCATCACTCATAAAAACACTGAAAAACACAGCAGAAGGGACTTTAAAAGCAAAAACAAAAAAACAAAAAAGATGCTACAGCGCATGTGCAAAAATGACTCCCCCCGGCAAACAAAACACACAAGCATATTCACACTCTCTTTCGGACTACAGCTCCCAGCATCCCCTAGACCAGGCCCTTTAGGAGAGGAGGATGATCCAAACGCTCTGCTTCCGAGCTGCAAGCTTTCTTCTCCTTGGATTTCTTTGAGAGCATCCCAATCCCTGCATATTTCCAATTTCTTATTCCTGGACTGCAACTCCCAGCAATCATCCAGATAGATAGATTAGATAGACATAGATAGGTAGGTAGGTAGGTAGATCAGGAGGACTGCTGGGAGTTGTAGGCTAAGAATAGGTAGAGAAGGAAGAAAGGGGAGAAAGAAAAGGAAAGAAAAGTTGGGGGAAGGAAGGGATAAATAAGAGAAGAAAGGAAGGAAGGAAGGAAGAAAGAAAGAAAGAAAGAAAGAAAGAAAGAAAGAAAGAAAGGAAGGAAGGAAGAAAGGAAGGAAAGAGAACGAAAGACGAGAAAGAGGGAGGGAAGGTTGACCACAGCAACGCGTAGCAGGTACAGCTAGTCTACAATATAGGTTGACCCTAGGTTCAAATGTTCGTTTCAGATAATGTGGAAGGAGGTCACAATAAAGGGCCAGCCACTCCCCATTGTCCATAAAGACATTGAGAATAAGGACCACAAATGAAAAGCAAAATTTGCTTATCAGCAGTAGTAAGCTCCTCCTCCTCCAAATCAAACATATCATGTTCAAAATTACTCCTAACTGAAATTGGAGTTGGGGAAACCAAACCATAAACCCAATCATGAATTACCTGCCAAGGCTGGAGAGTCTGGGGTCCATTACTTTTACCTCTTGGAATTCCTCTGTTTTTGGATTTCAATGAGTAAAGAGCTTGCAAAGCATGAGCCAAGGCATAGACAGCATTATAGATACTGTAGCTGTGTCCAGTCATGTTCATTTCAAAAAGAGTTGCAGGAAGGCTTTCCAGCTTCTCCTCACTAGTGCATGTTTCAGCAACTTCCATCAGTATTTCCAGATCTGGGAAGAAACAATCAAAGACCTGCTCCCAGAAAATTTTGCTGAAACCATCTCCTTGGTTCCAGTTTGGTTTCACCTTCTGAAGAAATTCCTTGAACCCAGGAATATCTGTTGAGTGTATTGTGAGGGAAAGTGCACCTTGCAATAGGTTAAAACTCCAGGCCCTTGTCATGCCTGTGGATATGAAATCAAGCTGAGAAGTCATGATCCACACCTTTCCAAATACAGTTCTGATCTCATCAGTGTCTGCTTGAAGCATCAGAGCCCTCAGCCAGTTAATGGTTATAGAGTCTCCATAAGTAACAAAAACATTAGTTTTATTATCTCTAATAGATAAATATATTCTTGAGATGGTATCAAAAACTTCGCCTACATCATCCAACTGAGCATGTTGTGGAATCCTTTCTGTGAAAGCTGAACAGATCCCATTCTGTGAAAGCAAGGACTCCAGGATGCCCAAGAAATGTTCTCCACTATCATCCTTCACAATAAAGAGTCCAATCCAGATCCATCCAAAATGCTGAAGTAACCGGATTATTCCAATATATTGATGGACTTCATTGGGGACCATGTGATACAAGGATGAGTCCCGCATTGTTTGGATCTTTTTGGAGGCAAATGAGCCATATGAGAGCTAAAAAGAAATGTAGAAATATTTTAGCATCATCACAGCAGCAATTTATTTGTGCTTATGATTATTTAGCCAATCTTCATTTTATATTTATTACACAAATGTTTAGATTCAGTGAAAGTATATTCTAAGGTTTTTTGCTTGAACTCTTCCTTGTAATAATAAGGAATTTAATTGCGGTATGAGCATACAAAACATTTTCCATGTTTTTATTGCCAGGGGATTGAATGCTGCTGATTTCCTTGATTGTGAACTACACAGTTGGTCTAGAGCAGTGGTTCCCAACCAGTGGTTCATGGACCACCAATAGTCCCCAAGAACGAAAATATGGTCCACAGCCTACACGATTGCCTCAAATCCACGTGGCAAAGAGATTGACGGATCTCACAAAACTCTCTTATAGTGCCAAGGAAATGGGGATGCCAGTAGGGGAGAGCCTGAATACCCACAAAAGATTACTACTACCACATCAGCTCTAGGTGATTAAATATCATTTTCTGTGGGTGAGCAGAGGGCAACTACTGGATGGCATATTATGTATCAGAAACTAGAGCTAACGTGGTATATCCAATGTAATTTTCTGAATCAGCACCTCAAATAACCAAAACGAATTTAAAGTTGACCAAAAACTGATTCGTAACTCTTTTGGTACTAATGTTGGAAAGTAGTCCCTGGTCAAAGTGGTCCTTGGTCAAGTTGTCCTTGTTCAAGTGGTCTCTGTTCAAGTAGACCATGGTCAAAAAAAGGTTGGGAACCACTGGTCTAGAGGTTACAAAAGAAAAATGTAAGTTTTCTACATCACCTTACTTATGTATTAATTGAATTTTTATCCCACCTTTCTCATAAAATGGTACTCAAAGTAGCATATGATCATTAAAAAAAACATCAAAACAATTATAACACAAATTTTAAAGGAATTAAATATCCAATTTAAAGGAGTTCCAGAGTCTGTGAGCTGCCACAGAGGGAAGGCTTCTCATTAACTGTGTCTGCAAAGCTGTGGGACTAAGAGAAATCTCTCTTCTGCAGATCTTAATGTTCATGCTGCCTTATATAAGAGATATGGCAGAGTCTGAACCCAATCCATTTAGGGCTTTAAAGGTTAGGACTTTGAATTCTGACCAGAAACAGATGGGAAATTAATCTTGCACATATCTTACCTGTGGAATCTTATAGAATACTAAGATATCTGCCACACGGAGGGAAGTATCAGAGGCAAGTCCCTCAATGATGCCTATCAGGTTTTTCTGCCCATCACATTCATAGTTAGGGAAGAATCTTCGCAATTTGAAAAGCAGGTCTAGAATGGCACAATAGGTCATCATTGGATTGTAATAGCTGTCATAGATGTGGAATCCAAGTGTGACATTGGGCAAGATCTGATTATTCTGGTTGATCTCATTTATGGCAAATGTCAAGGCAAGGCTGTGCTGGTAGAACTTGGTCACCATACTAGCAATAAAATATTGTGGTTTTTTACAAACACGTTTTTTTAACAAAAGATGACGAACTTAAGACATGTTCCTATTCCTTCCTTTGTCTATCTGATTTACAGTGTGCTCTTGCACATTTATTATGGTCCAGGAGTTAGGTCAATATGATTCACAATATGATTCTATACATTTCTTGCTACTAAGATCCTGAGATATGCAGAGATAATATATGCTAATTCTGGTTTAGTATTTCACATTATTTTAAACAAATGTACTATAAAATTTCATGAAATTCACCCAGAATGAACATCAACCTCCCCCACCATCCACCTGATAGGACAATTATGGCAACTTATGAAACAATAAAGGCTGATCCCATTTGTTTGTTTTAAATACGTTGCATTCAAACATTATGATTGTTTATCTTGTTTGAATTAGAAATAAAAACAGAAAATGGGATCTAAAAATAAGGAAGGAATGGTAAGTTGATAGAAGGACAAGCGGCAGAAGGCAAAAGGAGAAAGATGACTTAAGGACATTTTAAAAACAACAAAAACAAATTACCATATAATATGATTTGAAAACAGATTGAAATGGATTATGCCCACATATTGGTCAAATTGAGTAGGTAACATTAAAACCCATCATGAAAAGGGTATCAGAGCTATTTCACTATGCTAGGCACATTAGAAGCAAGATGTGGCAAGTCTAATCCAGCACTAAATAGACAGATACGAAGAAATTTGTGAAAAGATTTTTAAAAGTTAATGTCTCAAAATTTGGGAAAGAATGCATAAATATCTTGCTTTTGTTTTTTCCTCCATTTTTTTTAACACTTTAGGTTATTTATTTAATGCTGTGTGCCTTCAAGTCATTTCTGATTCAAGGTGACCATAAGGTGGACCTATAATGGGGTATCCTTGGCATAATTTGCTGGCGGGTTGCCCTTGTCTTTCTTTGCAGCTGAGAGAATGGGACTTGTCCAAGGTAACTAGTAGGTTTTCAAGGGTCCTAGCCCAGTACTTAAACCACTATTCCAAGCCAGCACTCTAGATTCTTTATAACCCCATCAAAAAGAAATATTTTGGTGGGTTTTTCTGGAAAACTAACTGAAACAAGAGTCACTATCTACTTTGGAAGATCTCCTGTTTTGGGTTCAATGTGTTCAGTAGCATCCATCATTTAAGCACTGAATCAGATGCAGAGTCATATGGTCGTGTGCAAAGTGCATGTAGAAGAAGCAGTGAACATGGATTGGATCAATCCCATATGTGTTTCTGTCAACATCCTTTCTTACTGAATGTAGATGACTACACAAAGAAGAGAACCTACAAAGAGAAATAATCAGAAATGCTTACTTTGGAATCTCCAAATGTCCCTGAGAAGGATGTTCTGAGAATGTAATCGCATTGACCATATAGGCAATCTGTGAGATGACCCCACCAATGATGTGGTCACCAGGCTGGTACCACTCATGAGGGACAGAGAGTGGATTGTCTCCAGAGCATCTCACGCTTCCTTTTTTAAGGGTACACACAATGGGTGGGAGCAGTAACAGAAATATCAATGCCCCTATCATCTTGGAGTGAAAGCTATTCTCCATATGACTCTTACTGCATCCATATCTATATGCTCCTTGGGTTTTGTTTCATTGACTAGGGACTGCACTTGCAAACACAGCTCTGAAAGTAGAGACCGATTATGACCCAAACAAGACGAAGCGGATTTTTAGTTAAGTAGTTGTATGTTAGTAAGATGTTGTGTTATGGACCTGATTACTGTAACTGTCGTCTGTATGTTCTATGTTTTGTACACCGCCACGAGTCGCCTTCGGGCTGAGAGTGGCGGTCAATAAGTGCAAATAATAAATAAATAAATAAATAAATGTGTCAGCCTTGGCTTTAGCATCGACAGGCTAGCCAAGCTAATCCTAGTTCAGACAGCTAAAATGTTGACATAGGCTAAGAGAGGGAAAGAAATTGAAGACAGAGCCTTGCCTACCTCTTGCTCCTGTTTCTGGCTCTCTCACACACAGAGGTTATTTCTAAGCACACACCAGTCACATCTGGTTGTTTAGTACTTTCCTCTGGAAAATGCATAGGTCTGATAAATTATAGTCATCTGTATAATTGCAGGGGAAGATAATTACTTCTTTAGATCTCTATTCCAGAGCAGCACACTGAGTCACAAACATGTTGGCTCCCTTTTCCAGATACTGCAACATGCTTTCTCTCCCTATTTTATCAAAAATAGGATATCATCATGTTCTGGCTTGGAGCCAAAATGGATATCAATATGAAGGACAATCTAATATTATTTTGGGGCGAGTCTGCCCTCACAACCACTCAGGATGCCTGAAAAGGATGACCTTTGAGATCATAGCCTTTTGGAAAACCAGAATCTCCAAAGCCTTTTTGGAAGCGTGACGTTTTGGAGATTAATTGGCATCCACACCATATGGAAAATCATAATCTTTGTGTAAAGTATGATCTTCCTGAGAAGAGCTAAAAACTCGATTCAGTGAATCTTCTTTTTAGTGGTATATATCCACTAGCATTCATGCAAGGCAAATTAGGTTTCTCAGCTGTTAGACTGATATACCTGGTTGTGTCTTTGAACTGTTAGGAACAAAGATTTATGCCAGTGCACAAAATATATAGAAGATCTTCAGAAGTGTTGTTTCAGTTGCCCAAAGAAACATCTATTCTCCCATGAAATGTATTTGGTTTTAAATCATACTCTCAAGAGACAAAAATAAGTAGTCTTCGTTAAACGTAGCATAGTTGATTTACTTACAAACTTCATGTATCAGCATACAGGTACATTACTTATCAGTTGAAAGTTTAAACAGTAAGTTCTCTAAGGCATTCTGTTGCAGTCTCTTCTATGTCTAATGCATAACAAACACAACCTAAATGCAATACACACACTGACTTCTAAAATGGAATCTT